GTCTCCAGGTCTAAAAGTGTTCAAAATAAGCTGAAAAAACATTGTCGATTTTTCGATTATTCTCGATAAAAAAGTTATCGGATGAGTTATCGAAAAAATAAAGCAAACTTGTACTGCCTATGGTATACACGAGTATGCTTGCCAAATTTCAGCTCTCTAGCTCTTATATCTTCTGAGATCCTTTTGCTCATACGGACGGACGGACGGACGGACGGACGGACGGACGGACGGACGGACGGACGGACAGACGGACAGGGCTATATCGACTCAGCTCGTCGTCCTGATCAAGAATATATATACTTTATGGGGTCTGCGATGATTCCTTCTGCCTGTTWCATACTTTTCACAAAACCATTATACCCTGATTTCCCATTTTCAATGGGTTCAGGGTATAAAAATACGTATCAATATATAAAACCGGGAATAATGGAAATATTAATATATATATTTTTGCTCATTTCAATCAAAGGAAAGAAAATTTATACATTTTTTTTAGATTACACTAGAATCTGTTTCGAAGCTCAATGAAAAACCTCATAATAAAATGAATATATAAATGATAAAAGCATTCCTATAGATATGGTACCGTTCAGTATTAACTCTCGATTCGCTAACAATTAAATTGTTATGTTATCGCAAAATATAAATATTATGACAAGTGCTGTAAATTTTTAACCGTAACCAAATGACAATAGCTGCATTATTCATGAGTTAAAACTAAAGTCAATAATGAAGAGGAAAGCTCAAAAATAAATGCAACTTAATTGGAATGTAAAGGAACACTGCATGCAAATAACCGAATGCAATGCCTGAGCAGCTCAAAGATTTCAATTCAATTTGCAAATGCAGGAAATCCGACAACCACAAAAAAAAAACAAACAACAACAGCAACAGAAAAAGGCCAAAAGACATTTCTGCCAGACGACAAATCGACTTTTGTGATGAGAAATATGCACATAGAGAGAGGAAGAGAGAAAGAGAGAGAGAGTGGGAACGCGACTGACTCGAGAAGTGGCAGTGTGAAAAATTATGCGCTCGAAATAGATTTTCCAGCGACACTTCAAAATAGGAAAAATGAATGAGAAATGCAAAAAATAGAAAAAACGAGAAGCAGACTTGTCTTGCATGGAGTTTCCACTTGAGTCCGTCCAGAGCCAATTCGTCCGTGCTGTCGCGTCTGCAGTTAATAAATTTTTTTGCCACGTCCTTTGCTGGCGGCACAAGTGTGGACAAATCCACAGCTGAAATTCAAGAAAAAATTCTCCTCGAGCTGATCATAACTCGTTGCATGCATTTTTCACACTCTGCCATAAGCGACGGCTGTGTGGAAAGCAACAAGCTGCAAATACTTTCCACACACTCAGCGATTCGCCATTTAATATCAAATTCATTCAGACTTCGCCGAGATTCAGTTGTTGGCCTGCCAAAGACATTGGCATATTCGTCTTTATCTGCTATATTTATGGTCTAAATATATATATGTATATCTATATATAGTAGTGACTGGTGAGTGAGCACTGATATGACTGTGAATGTTTTTGCTACAAAATATAGAATATTTCGCTGTCGTAAAACTTGCTTCGATTGATTACAAGCAGAACAGACCTTAGCCCAATATTCTGACTTCAAACTAATCGAATATCAAACGAGTTTTCAAATAAGAATCGAATGATTTGCCAATGGATTTCGAGTAGATGCGAGTTGACAAAGCATCTCCATGAAGAGACATGAGAAAGTTTCATTTAATGCTGTGTCATTTGAAAACATGGGCAAGACTTATATAAATCTACGTAAAATATATATACATAGATGATAGACTTTATACGCATTCTACTCAATTCACTTTGAGGCCCAAGCATCGCTGCTTCAAGGTCAGGCCAGCCTGTTTATACACATGAATGTATACAATAAATCCTTCAGTGCCCCATTATGATGCACAACCCGTCCGTGAATCATAAGCTCCAAAAATATGGAGAGCTGAAAAAGGCGCGCACACAAAAAATGCGTGTAAAAAGCCATAAAAATCAAATAAAGCAAACGAAATGCGGGAAACATAAAGTGGAGCGCCAAACGAGCCATTCAAATGCATTTATAAATGTATCAATACAACAACAACAAAAGCAAAGCAAAACAAAAACAAAAACAACAAATTTGTGGCAATAAACCAGGCGAATCGCAAAGCTCATTGAAATGTTACGAGTGCAACAACACTCAAGAGCCCCACTCAATTGGCCGGCAGATAAGCACTCAACACGCCACTTAATGAGCCCAGAAGCCGAGAGCGAGAGGGAGCGAGAGAGTAAAAGAGAGAGCAGCAATTGAGGGAACAACAAAACAAAGTGGACTAGCCGAAAAAGAAACAATACACAAATCTATGCATACACATGTACTAATATATATTTACATACACACACACACTTAGGCAAAACTCAAAGTGTGAGCAACAAGTTCTTGTGAGAGAGAGAGTGCGTGAGAGCGTGTTACGTTTGCTGTTGTTGGCTGAGAGTGAGTATGAGTGTGAGTGTGTGAATCGGGGAGAACAAGTTTCGTTACGCTAGTGAAGTTTGAGCGCAAAGTGGCTGCAGTGACAGCAACAGCAACAGCAACAGCGCCGTCGACGTCAACGTCAACGTTCACGTTGGCGCTGTCAGCGACGCTGACGGCCGTTCACTTAACGCATGCGGCCGGCGTTGTTGTTGGGTCAGTTAACGAAACGTCGGCGCGTAAGTTGGTTGCGTTTTTTGTAGAAGCGGCGCGCGCAGAACGCGATCAGCCGGCATTTGCCAAACGAAAGATACATTTTGCAAAGCGCGAGATACATGCAAATTGTCTAAATAAAAATAATAAAAAGAAGTGCAACGAGGAGCCAACGCAATAAGTAACCAAAGCGAAAAGAAAAGGAATAAATAATAAAAACAAAGTGATTTGTGTGCTCAGTGTCGTGTTCTCAAAGCATGCAGCGCAGAGCATTGCTTCCCAAGAAGTGAAACACAAAACCCGAAAACAGTCCCAAAAAAAAAAAAATAAAATAAAATAAAATAAATGAAATAAAATAAATTAAATTAAATAAAACACTGTTGTACAACAAACGAAAGTAACAAGAGTAATAAGGTGCATTTATAACAATAATTTTTGTCAACGTCGGCGACGCGTCGGCAGCATGGCAGAAATTTGTGTGATAAAAGAAATGAAATTCTTTGTAACAGTCACGTTTTAAATTGTGCGCCCTTTTTTTACAAAAAAAAAAAAAAAAGGAAAAGAAAAAGGAAAAACAAAATAATAATAATAAGCTGAGAAGAGTTTTCCTGTTTTTATTTGCATTTCATGCGCGGTGAATTTTGTTAAAGTTGTGCGCGCATTCGATCTTTTATCTAGAATCTAGATTCAATTTACTCACCTATATTTATAATGTTGTTGTTGTTGTTGTGTGGTTGGGAAAATGTATTGCAACGGCGTTAAGCTCAAATTTGTGCTGCATGCGCTGAAATTAATTCGATTTCTTGTTTTGTTTTTGTCATTTTAAAAATAAAATCGAGACAGCTTAACAAAAAAAAAAAAAAAAAAAAAAAAAAACAATATATATTTACGTTGATTGCAAGTTAATATTGTATAAAAAAAAAACAAGCTGCTTACACCAGCAAAATCATTTCGTATGGGAAATGCTAAGTTAACTGCATCCATTTGGCTTGTTGTTGTTTATGGCTAATAGCGAAGAGCGCTTTGGCTTAAATATTAATACAGTTAGTTCTTGTCGAGGATTACTTCTTATCGACAAGTCGACTTCAGTTTACAATTGGCGTGATAATGCAATTTACATGTGACTTACGAGACATACTTCGCCGCATATCAGGCGCGATAAGTCCGATAATACAGATGTATACATAGATGCATATGTAGATGTATAAGTAGACGTATACATGTGTATATTTTGGTTCAAGTAATGCTGAGTGTATAAACAGGTAGCTCACATTTCATGTCTTCGCTTTGTGGACACCCTTCCTGTAACTGGGTACGACCACACTTTTCATATCCCACGCTCCACGCCCGAAGGCGAATCGCTCGACGGCAGCCAGCGAAGGTCGTTTATTATTATTATTATTATTTTCTTKGCATTTTATTGCATCTCTGGCACAAAGGGGAGCACTGACGCTCCGTCGCACAGGACTCGCTTGCAGTGTATTTGTTAAAGTTGTCGCTTTATTTGCTTGTTGCCCTGTCAGCAGCAGAGCCGACTGAGATTGAGAAACCCAAGCACAGACACAGAGACAGTCTCAGTCTCAGTCTCAGTCGCAGTCGCAGTCGCAGTCTCACTCAGACTCTCCCTCTCACTCACAAGTTTGGTGCCTTATGTTTGTCATATGTTCCAGAGCTTCAGCTGGGCCACAAGCAACTCCAGTGCCCAGCGTCTTTTATACACTGTCATGTGCTTATTCTCACTTGTGTGCGCATCTCAACTGGGTTTACATTGTCGCACATCTTCATCATCATCTGCATGTCTCATGTGTGCTCGTGTGTGTGCGATTCTTTATCTCTCACAGTTCTTAGTCATTGTTAAAGCAGCAGCTGCTGCTGCTTCTGCTGCTGAGTTATCTCATTGTGCGCACATTCCAGCCTTGTCTCAGCCGAGGACGATCTCTCATATTAGGCGTGGGCGCAGCAATCCTAAAGGTCTTTGTTGCTCATTCGGTTAATTAGGACGGGATGACTCAATCTCAATGTCAATCCCAATCCCAATCTCTATCTCAATCTTGTTGGCAAGGCGCCAGCTCAAGGTCTTCCATGGAGTCTGGAATCTTAACTCACAATTTCACTGTGAATGTCCCAAGCTCGAAGTGCTGCTGGCATGAATAATATTCAATGTAAATTCAATTGCCAGCTGCGGCTTGCATAATCTTAAAATACATTCATGCATTTGTTTTTAATTAGCCATATGTTTCTGTCACAATTCTTGTTTTGATTCTTATTGTTTTCTTTTTGATTATTTTTTTTGTATTTTGCAGACGAGTTCAGTCTCAGTTGTAGCTCAAATTCTTATTACCGACACGCTCAAAGTACGTTTACACTTTTTATTTACCTTGTCTTACTTTCATTTTTGTTATTATTAACCCCCCCAGAGAGAAACCCATAAATCTCATGGCATATTTGGGGCCTCTCTCTCTCTATAATATTCATTTGTTGTACATAATAATAACACGCACAACATAAAACACATCGTGTGAAGCCAAAGTCGGGAACATAAATTTGTCGCTTTTATCTAACAGTCGAATGAAAACAATTGTCGTTTCGATCTCGTTTTCGTTTTTTTCTTTTCTCTCTTTCTGTTTTTTGTTTACGATGCCGCCCAGTATTCATGATGGCGTTGAAAAGTGCCATAAGGCACATAATTAATGCCACAGAAGGCTGCTGCAAATTCACAATGAAGCTGCGTCTGGCATTTAATGGCGAGCTGCGATGGTGATGAGGCCGTTTTCCAATAGCGCCCATATTTATTTGCTGGTGTGGGGTGGGGGGTGGAGACACATCTGCTTCGCAGCTTCACAAATTTATGGGTTGCGGTAGGGATTTGAACCCCACAGCAACTTTGACCCACTTCGAATGGCTGGCTGGGCCGATAAGCGCCACATTGAGCGCAATTAGGCGCAATAGCTCACACACTCTAGACCCAAAGCCAGCTCTAGATGTACTCATGCATATGCGTAAATTAAACCATTTTTTGACAAACTCAGCGAACATCTTTCCAATTGGAATGCTCAATTGAGGGCACAAATGTTAATTGAAACACAAATATTTTGATTTCTTGACGAATCTTGAATTGAAATGTTTGACACAAGAAGTTAAATAATTTTGATTGCCTTTAAAAAGTGTTTGCGAAAGATTTTGTAGTATCAGAAAAATGTTTCTCTGAGTAAGTAGAGACAGCTACTTGAGACAGAATGAAGTGCATTCTCTTATTCAGCAGCTGCTGCTGTTTTCATATGTATTTTATATATATAAATAAATAAAAACATGCCTTGTTCTCGTACAAAGAGGTGTCTTTAATAATACATATTTACATATATACATTTATATAAATAATATACGAATATAAATAAGTATGTATAACACCCTAGCACCTCTAACTCTTGTGCCTCTTGATTGATTGTATATACTTACATACATTTATGGAAATAATGTAGTATATATATGCATACATATGTAAGTTATTTTGAATTTCCAAAATATTTTCATTTTACATTCTTAGTTGATTTTATTTATATTTTCTTTTATTAATTTTTTAGCATTCTTTAAATTTTTGAGCTACAAAATGATTTGACATTTGCATTACTGAAATATAAATTTATATCTTTGTATTTCTTATATAAAAAAAGGAAAAATAATAATATATATACATACATACATAACTGTCTGTAAATATCATAAAATGTGTAAACAAACACCAACCATGTGCGGCCTTTGCCGTCTCTCTCTCTCTCTCTCTCTCTCTTTCTCTCTCACTCACTATCTCCCCCTCCCTCTCCCTCTCTGCTTCTCTTTGAGCCACTTCAAGCTTGTTATGTGCATTTTGTGGGCTCGTTTGCTTTTCGGCTGGCCTTAATTTGAGACACGGCTTATTTATCGGTCGATTCGTCGCTTCTTTGTCTGCAAAAATTGTGTTCGAAACATGGATTTGGTTCGCTTGAACACAGCTGCAACATGATGTCATCCACATGAATTCTAGGGAATTTGCTTACATTTAATTGCGTAAGAGCTTAAAATGTTCCAAAGGGACTTAAAGTATATATGTATATGATTCAATCTACTCAAGAAATCCAAAGTCCATTAGAATTTACTTAAGCTGAAGCATGTCTGCAAATAGCAGTTGGTTAATCTAAAAGTTAATTTGAAGTCTGCATAATCAAGATCATCTTACAAAAGTATATAATAATGCATAATAGAGAATAATAATGATAATAATACTATTCTAAGTTTATTCTTTTACCAAGGTAATTCTGCTATTACTAAATCTATTTAATGTCTAATAAATTTCTTTACCAAGTCTGGTTTTTCACTAGCTTTTCAGTTGGCGAAAACCCAAATCTCACTTGCTTGCCAAGAGCATCGCATATCGACGCCTGTCCACATTGGATTTGCCAAATTTGGTTTTCTAATAATCACAGAAATTCGCGCTGTTGATTTAGCTGCTTTGCAGCTGTTGAATCTGAATCTGCATGTTGCATGCTGTTGCTGCTGACTGTTGCTCTCTGCTGCTCTCTAGATTGCAGCTAAAAGCTGGAAATTATTTATGCTAATTGCACTTAATTTATGCATGCTGCAYATGCGTATGTGTGTGAGTGTGTGTGTGTGTGTGCGTGTGTGTGTGTTGAGGGAGAACTCTTAGGGAAATGCAAAGACAAGGCAAACACAACTTTGTTGTTGTCGAGTTCTTTATGTCGTTTTTGTTGCACATACAATTGATATTTATTAGTACACTAAGAGCCCTCGCTGTGGAGCAGAGGGGCCGATGGTGGGCGGGTGGAGGAGGAAGGTCTGGCAATTTTCGCGTGCCTCAAATGTTCAATTATCGCCGCAATTGCCGCCGCTCCGCACCCACGCGACTGCAACAGTCCCCCGCCCGCCCACATCTCTGAGTGACATTTGCATGGCAATGGATGGAGGATAAATATGTTCATATATTAAAAGTATATATATGTATGTGTGTGCGTGTGTGTGTGTGCGTTTCTATGCGACATGCAGACGCCAAGTGCCATTTAAGGCTTTACACATGTGGCAATGCGACGCCTTCTATGGAATTTATACAAATGTCAGCCAAATGTCGCGACTTGGAATCGGACTTTGTCGTGGCGCCTAATCCTGCTGGCATTATTTCGCGGTGCCCATTTCGGCCAATTAATATGCGGTTAATGGTGTTAACTGCTTGACGTGGTTATTTATAGGCACGAAAGATGCAACTGCAACTCAATTGCATGCCAGTGCAATGTGAGACAGACAGACCGACAGACCAGGCGAGTAGGAGAGCAGATAGCAGGCTGAGCCAGAGGCAGGGGCAGGCAGCGGCACTCGGTCGATGGCGTCGTGCATTTTGCATGCCAAGTGATGGAAAATGTATGCGATGAATTGCATAAGATGGCACAACTAACAGCAACTCTTACTTGTATCTTGGCTGGGCCCAAAGCCGAAGACAAATATCTGCTATCTTGGCACGTTGTTGTTGTTGTTGTTGCTGCTGTTGTTGCTATTGCTGCTGTTGGGTGTGGTGGTTTCAGTGGCACTGGCAGTGGCACATTTCAAGCATCTGCAGACGGCGAGTGCATGAAATGTATCCTTGGATAGAAATGCAAATGCGAAATAGAAAAAAATAATGTGGAATAACAAGCATCTACTGGTGTGAATAAATAACTTATCGAAATAAATGGCAGCTGAGCGTGTCAGATAAGTGAATCAAGTTGCGATAGAGCAAGTGTCCATGGATGCTGCCRAGCAGCTTGCCAAAGACTACTATRTACAAGCATATATAGCATAGAAGGGAAAATAAAATATAAAATATGAAATAAAAAATATAAAACATAAAATGCAAAATATGAAAAATATAAAATATAAAATATGAAAGA